AGAGAGAAACGCCATTAGTACGCGGGGGGTGAACATGAGAGAAAAGACCGAGTATAGGGAAGATTGGGAAAAGAACAAATATTGAACGGGATTCAAGAACATAGAAGATGGCGACTGACATTGCATTTACATTTTTGAAGATTTTAATTATCAGGGAAGTAAGTAAACGGGACGGAGTCCCACAGGTGGGAAGTGCGAGAAAAGTAATGATTGGAGTGGAAGTGGCGTTTGCATTTAGCTATTTCAAATCTAAACGGTGAGACCTACATGCGAAGGTAGTATCCCGACCGTATGAATTTAAATAAATATATATATATATATATATATATATATATATATATGGAGGTATGTTGCGGCGGATAGGGATAGCGGCTTGCATTGAGGAATCTGAGCAAGTTCGAATTCCAGTCGAATCCATTACATTCACTTACGTGCTAATACCCTTGGGAAAGGTGTAAATCATCTTCTTCTCCCTACAGCTATGGGTAAATAGCAGGACAGACTGGGTTCTATAGCCTTGGATGGCAACTGGTCTAGGAGAAGGACAATTCTGAATTGAAAATGGGACATTGTGGCACTTAGTGCACCAGGTCTCTGTATTCGGCCCTTCAAAAGTGTGGCTGGTCTTGCACGAAACCTTCACCACTATAATCAAATCTCATGTGCTGCTGTCAGGTTGTCGGTACCCTGGGAACTGATCTGCTTGACCCTCATACGTCGAATTCGACAGGAGAGTCGACTATAGGTGATATATATATATATATATATATATATATATATATATATATATATATATATATATATATATATATATATATAGTTGTGTATTTCACCAAAGCAATCCCTGTTTTATACAAGTTTTATTAAAGAAGGACCCATTAAATATGCATGCGTGTTTGTATACGATTCAACAAAATATTCTAATCGACATTTTCACCGAATCTGATCATGATTATTTAAGATTTCTTTCTTTCTTATCCTGCTGAAAACGTTGCCTGGATTCTTAAGATTAGCCTAATTGGCTGACTAATCGGCTTATTTGGGATTAGTAGAGACAGGCTCGGGAGCCAAACGTATGCGTTTGACTGCAACGCCTAAATCCTTCCTTCCAATGAGATGGCGGCATCTTCGATCAGATTTTCTTTACCGCCATCAAATCCAGTTCACAAGAAGAGAGAACGAAGCGGATTGATGTCCCACCCTCATGAAGCTATTTCAATTAGGAAGATTAGAACAGACCAAGACGTTGAATATCTTGTGCGTCATCAAGGAATGACTTAACGAATACAATCTTCTCATTTCAACTATCTATAAATTAAGACGCTTTAAAGGAATATTAGTTATAGAAATAGTCGTATTAATGCTAGTTACCGATGTGGTATTAGTTGTTTCAATTATATCTCCATTATTTATATATTCTTGAACTTATTATAGCCTAATTTACTGGGATCCTTCTCGCCGCCATCATTATCGTATACAGAAATTTTTGGCTGTTGTACACACATGGCTTTTCAGCTGTGTGTCTTCGTTGGTAGTCTTCTAAGCGAATACTTTAGATTTGAATAAAGTAATCGCATCTAAATTCGTGGAAGATTTTCAGACGGCATTCCTGCACATGTGCTTTTCCTACATTATAGTTACGTGATGTATGATATCAATTAATTGATCTAGTCATTTAGCGGTTGCGTGTTCAATCCGTACGCTGGGTAGTGCGGAAAAAGATGACAGGTATTCTCGTATCTGCCTCCTCATTGGATAAAAGCTTTGGTTGAATTATGATCTGACCCAAAGAGTTGTGTGTTCAATACCTGGCTGTACCTGAAGTGAACAAAAATTTTGGAGTTGATTTAAAGGGAGATAACTGATACACAGACATTCGGAAGAGGCATGGCATCTGGAAATAGGACAATCTACTCCGGTGGACGAAATAATGGGTTCAGCTCGAAATTCCAATCGCCTGAAGAAGTCTGGAGCGTACAACAGCCGAAACGTCGTGGATTCTCGTTCATCGAAGAAACAAAGGACGAACTTCTTCTTCTTCTTCTTCTTCTTCTTCTTCTTCTAGTACGATTACCGAAGTTAAGCAACTGGATGTGCATATGTTGTAATGGATAACGGCTCGGAATTGTAAATCGGACACCCGAGTTTCAATCCACGTTGGGTTCGTTATTTTAACTTACACGTAAATACCCCTAGGAAAGGTATGTATTCAACTATTCTCCAACAATCTATGAGTTAAGTAGTTATACTTGTATAACAAAACAATTATTAAGTAAAAAAAATTTTCAATCTAATTTTTTTTTCTAGTTTTAAATGACCTGCAAACGGTTGATAAGCCGTAAAACGCATCAATCAAAACAATATTCTTCTTTGTTCCGCACCATTTCATGAGGTGGGGATCATAGCTCTCCGCAACTTCCTATCTTGTGTATCTCTTCTAACTTTTTTTTTAATCCCATCCCAGTTCTAGCATCCATTTACGTAAGATTATTAAGTCGGCTGGTCAAGACTTTTCTTTTTTGTGTCCATTTTTTCTTCCTCGTTGCTCACATACATAATACTGAGCTTACTAGCTTGCACAAAATAACACAAAAAATGCCATATATAACAAGTAAGGGTAGTGCTATCAATCTATTTCACTACATTATCTATATCTCTGTCTATTTCAGTTTTGTCACATCTATCTAGCTAGCTAGCTAGCGAGCTAACTCAGCCATTATCAGGCGTTACACTCATTATATTAAATCTAATTTCATAAAGTACCTGTATAAATGCTCTGTTTTTAATGGAAATGTTAAGTTCCATTCAGCGAGAATAAACACCTTAGGGTCCCCCGATAATGCCAAGCAGACATTTGTGATGTTTGTAAAGCCCTGAATGATTTACATCCAAATTATGGAATTATACTTACGTTGTTGTATTTAAGAGGATGTTTGAGACAAAAAAATGAAAAGTTTTGACAACCTAAAAGAAGTCATGAAAAAAATGGATAAAAGAATAATGCATGCAAAGACGAAATGAATTTGAGGATTTTCAGAAGACTAGAATACCACAAAAGAATTTCAAATATATTAGTGTCAGAAGAAGAAAAGAATAACGATGAAAAAAAATCAGTGCAATATGAAGAAAGAAAAAAGTAAAAGAAAAATCAGTTAAATTACAGCAAAAATAAATAAAAATACATACAGTAATGATTCTTAAGAAGAAAGTTTTTTACTACTTACTCTTGTAATATGAAAAATGGTTAGAGTCTGTATACAGGGCATAGAGAGTCCTATCTGTAAAGGACTGAACTGGTGGAACTAAGGAATGGTAGTCACTAAAAAGTTTTCCATAGAAATAACGACAGATCACCAAGAGGTTTATGACATGTCATCGGTAGGTTAGGTGTCGTATGCACTTTTGACTTGTCTTAAGGCCGGAAAGTGAAAAAAACAAGTCGGAAATTGTAATTCGGACAAGATGAAAAGATATTTTGACATTGGGAATCCATCAATATTTGAACAATTCTTCTTTTAACGATTTCTTTTTCGACAGCTCAAAAGCTCCTGTAATTTTCAAAAATATTTTTTAAAAAATAGGGATTTTTGTCAAGAAAACTTGCTCTGAACTAAAGAGTGAAAACTCCTGAAAAGAAAGACAATGCATAGTCATCAGTAAAAGGATGAGCACAAATGGGATTTGCATGTCGGGAACACTAAAATCGAGCAGACGCGGAAGTTTAAATATCTGGGAAGCCTTTTGACAGAGGACGGTAAATGCAACGCTGAGATGCGTAGACGTATTAGGATGGCCAAGGAGGCATTCCAAAAGCTGGGCAGGATATCACGAGACAGGAGGATTTCTTTTGTAACAAAGAAAAGGTTAATGAGCTGTTACGTGACATCTGTCCTTCTTGAAGGCAGCGAATGTTGGACGATTTTCTCAAAGATGAAAAAGAGACGAGAGGCAACGGAGAAGTGGTTCTACAGAAGGATGCTAAGGATATCATGGACCGAGCGGGTGAGCAACGATGAGGTCTTAAAGAGGATGCGAACTAAGAGGAGGCTTATACTTGACATCAGAAAGAGGTAGCTGAAGTTTCTGAGACACATAATGAGGAAGGAGGGTCTGGTGAATCTGATACTCACGGGTCGAATAGAGGGAAGAGAGACAAGGGAAAACAACGCATGGCATACCTAGCGGACATAAGCAAGTGAAAGACAGAACGTGGTCTGGTGGAGGTGGCAGAGGGGAAGAAATTGTTGAGAGCTGCAAGGGATAGATTTAGGTGGAGAGCCATGATTGCCTACGCCCTGAAACTTTCTTAATTGTGACTTTCCTTTATTGTTTCTTCCTGTTTCTTTCTTTCATCTTTATTTTTATCTTGTTACATTCATTCTTCTTCAAACATATCATCTCTTTTTATATCCTTGTTTTAAAATAATTTAAAATTTTCTTCCTTTCTTTCTTTGATTTTTTTTGTTTTTCTTTCGTCATTTTTTGTTTTTGTTGTTATTTGTCTCGTTCGGGATTTTTTTTCTCCATTTTTTATTATTCTTTATTACTTTGTTTTTGTTTTGGTTATTTAAATAACAAAAACTATTTCCTATCTTTTTCATTTTTTTTTTCCTACCTTCATTATTTCATTTCTTTCTTCATTCTTTTTTTCTTTCTTTCTTTCAGCATTTTTGATATTTTTTTCTTTTTCATGATTTCTTTTTCATTCGTCATTATTCTTTTTATTTTCTTTTATTCTTTTTAGATTTTTCTTTCTTTCAACGTTTTTTTTTTGTTATTTTTTCTATATTTTATTTCGAACTTTCCTTCCTTCCTTCCTTTTTTCTTTCTTTCTTTCTTTCTTTCTTTCTTTCTTTCTTTCTTTCTTTCTTTCTTTTCCTCTGATTGACCATTCTTACATTATATGAATTTTCTCGCCTCAAATTTAATTCTTTCTTTCTTTCTTTCTTTCTTTCTTTCTTTCTTTCTTTCTTTCTTTCTTTCCCCTTGATTAATATCGCATGCATTATATGTATTTTCTCGCTTCCTTTTTTTATCTTTCATTCGTTCGTCCTTTCCTTTCTTCTTTGTTCCTTCTTCTTTCCTTTCAACGCTATTTTGCTATTTTTCTCTTTCATGATTTCTTTTTTATTCCTTATTATTCTTTATTAGTTTTTTATTTAGTTCTTTTTCTTTATTTCCAGTCTTTCTTCTTTCTTCCTACTTCTTTTTTCCCCATTTTTCGTTCGTTTGTTTATTTCTTTCTTCAATCCTGCCTTTCTTCTTTCAACGTTTTTTTGGTATGTTTTTTTCTTTCATGCTTCCTTTTCTTCATTCCACATTATTCTTTATTTCTTTTTTATTTTATTTATGTTTCTTTGTTATTTCCTAGCCTCTTTCTGTCTCTCTTTCTTTGAACGTTTTTTGCTATATTTCTTTTTCTTGACTTTTTAATTCCTTGGTATTCTTTATTAGCATTTTTTTTGTTTTTTTTTCTTTATTATTTCTTAGCCTCTCGCTTTCTCTTTTTCTTTCCTTTTTTTCTTTCTTTTCTTTCTTTCTTTCATTGATTCTCTCGACCCACATAAACCCACATTGTTTTTCATATGTTTGCCGAGATTTGTTGGTTTTTACCGGGTGCCTTAATGGTTAACGGACCAACTAAATGGTTGACCATTACTCCTCATCCGTTTGGTCGATCCAGAATAAGAGTGCCTTTCTAAATTCGACTCTAAATAAGACAACAACAAATGATGTGCCGTAATACTTCTCTTTTTCACTCTTTTATGTCATTAATTCAAATTCCGTCTGTTTTGATTTTGTACGTTTCCTTTCTTGATCCCCTTTTTCTTTTTAGCTTTCTTTCATTCTTCTGCCTTTCTTTGCTTTTAAAATTTCATTTTTGTCTTTCTTTTCTCAACCTTTCTTTATATTTTATATTTCATCTTCGTCTTTCTTTCTTTTTTCTTTTTTTTCTTTTTGCTATTTCATGTTCTCTTCTTTCTTTCTTTCTTTTTACTATTTCCCGTTCTTTTTTCTTTCTTTATTTTTACTATTTCGTCTATTTTTCTTCCTTTCTTTTACTCATTTTTCTATTTCATGTTCTTTTCTACTTTCCTGCTTTCTTTCCTTTTACAATTTCATGTTCTTTTCTTTCATTCATTCATTTTTGTTCATTCATTTTCTTTGTTTCACTTTATTTCTTTTATTCTTTCTTTCTTTACAGCTGGCGTTCTTTTTTATGTTTTATTTACCTTTGTTTCCTTCTTTCTTTCTGTCTTTCTTTCTTTCCTTTTGCTATTTCATTGTAGTTTCTTCCTTCTTTCCTTCTTCTTCCCTACCTTTCGTTTTACTTTGTAGCTTCTTTTTTAGTCTTTCTTTCTTTTTCTATGTCATTTTCTCTCTTTCTTTCTTTCTTTCTTTCTTTCTTTCTTTCTTTCTACATTTACACTTTTTCTCATTTTAATCCTCTGTCAAAATATAAGCGATGTTAAATTTCACATTAATCTTTGCCATTGTCGAATTTGTTCCATATTTTATCGCAGGTTTTTTTTTTATTCACGTTCTCTTTCCTTCGCTTGCCTTTTATTTTCAAATTCAAAACTATTAATTTATTCACCCCCAACCACCAGCAACTTTTTCTCCCTCTTTAAAATAAATTTTGCGAATGTATTTTGCGTTCGGAATTTTCTAATCGGATTATGCACCAGACGATTTTGAAAGCTATCAAGAAAATCGCTTTCTGGAATGTTCGATGATAGTTTCAGGAATCTCTTTTCCGATCAAAACTCACTTCCACGGCACACTTCCCATTTTTGTATTTGCTTACACACACACACACACACACACACACACACACACACACACACACACACATATATATATATATATATACACGATGGAAATGAAAAGATGTCGCTCTACTAAAATGAATTCTTACGCTTGGTTATTTGCAGAGAAATTTTCAGTTAAGCCATTATACATATATATATATATATATATATATATATATATATATATGCGTATACTTTGGTAGCATGTTTGCATAAAGACATGTTTCGTTGTATAGTTTAGACATGTTCTGTCTATTTATTTTTTACTTACTCGCGGATAATTCTTTTGATATCATTATTGAAAGACGAGAGAAAGTCGTCACGTTCATACTTATTTGTTTATTTCAAAGTAATTTCGACATATCCATGTCATCATCAGGGTATTGTTTATTATAAAATAAATATTATAGCATTTATTATTACCAGAGACGAATTGGTGTGTTATATGAAAATTAATTTTTTTATAAATGGAGTGAGGAACCCTACGTCAGTGCCTGAAACCTTTTAAAGGGAGGTAACTAAGTATAGTTTGGAGAGTTGTTTTACGTCATGGGCAGTAAAAAGAGAAACTATTATTGTAAACCTTGGCATTTCAAGTTATCTATTATACACAATTTAAAATATTCATAATTAATATTATTAAGGTTTGGTTTCCTTTTTCTTAATATAGATAGATTCAAGAATTTTTTATGTTTATTCTTTTCGTGAAGAAGTATAGAGCTATTTTCGACAAGGATTTTTTCTGAATTGCTAATGTAGATAGGTATGTTGTTGGAAATGTTTGAAAATGTTAGACATATTCAAATGAAAACTTAGCCGCAGAGACAACGTTGTTGTATTGTGTCATACATAAATATTATTTTTACCATAGGAGATAAAATCTGCCAGAGGACATTTAAATTTATGAACAATATTGGTTTGCTGCAACACGTTAGTGGGCGTGGAAGAGTCATTTATGGATGATTGCTATTATCAGATATATTAGATTTAGTGAAGTATGTAACTAATTTTATTTTTTTTACTAGGATCTGTGGTGGATATATTAGTTTTCATTAATTTTTTTAGGATATTTCCATGTTGTTGATAACTGAAATGCATTCGGTTAAGATATAAAAGATTGATACACATATATATATATATATATATATATATATATATATATATATATATATATATATATATAAAATGTTTTTTTAGGCAAATAATACTAAAAACGACAGATATATTGTGGCGAATAATTTTAGTTATCGACTTTTCTAAGTTACGAATAATGCTTCTGAGAAGAAAAACATTCGATTGCAAACTGCTCGAAGTTTATTTTGGAAGAAAATGTACAGGAAATATAGCCCAAACTTTCGTCTTACTTAAGTAATCATAAAAGGTATGTAGAGGAAATTGGTGAGTTTCATAGATATATATGTATCGGAGATATTTTCTTTATTAAGAATTCTTGAGTAAGCATCGATAGACGACACACACACACACTCATATATATATATATATATATATATATATATAAGAAAATCTTAATAAAGAAAATATCTCTGGTACATATATATATATATATATATATATATATATATTATACTCACTAGTTCTATGAAACTCACCAAGTTTCCCTACATACCTTTATATATAGGGTGTGATGGATAAATTGTCTAAATAAAATAAAAATAATACTGACATCTCGTTTTCACAGATATATTTACGAAAATTACACAAAAATATCTTGAAATACCAAAGAGTAAATTCATGAAATAGTATCGTCATTGGCTTCAACCACGGCCTCCAGACGACTTCGGAATCTCCTGGCTCTTTTCGGACGGTCTCCTTGTTTAAGTTGGTCAACACTTGCCTTCTGTGTTACAAAGAGTTTTGTCGGTTACTCGCTCAACTGCACTGATACATAATAAAAGAGTTTGCAGTCTGAGGAATTAGGTGGCTAGATGTAAGGGGTGATGCAATCGAAGAAATTGTATGATAGCAATGACTGGGTTCTCCTGTTTGTGTGGCATGGTACAGAGTGTTTTTACTAGACATAGGGTTTTTCAGCAGCCACCATCTTGAGCCAGGGTAGCACTATCTCCTCAAGACATTTCATGTAGTCCTCCATGTTGAATATGTGGCTCTTTGGAAAGATGAACGAAGGTATAACGTCGGCATCAGTAGTGATCACTCCAGACACCATGATGTTGACTGGATATATCATCCAACTTTTTCCGAATCCTCCTCGCTGTTCTTAGATTGATTCTCAGTCTGAAATATTCGTATTAGAGTTTCCGTCGCCAATGCCAAGCAGTATATCATTCCGTTTCCAAATTTTGGGAGAAGTGAATTGCGTCATGGTGCACTTTTTCTCACAGACGGTGAACCCACTATACTGAGCAGCCGACAAAATAAATGAATAACGCGCATGCGCTAAGTTATAAATATAATACGGCGACAATTTACCGATTGCCTACGAGGTTTGCCTGAAAAGTAGCTGGTTAGTACCGCAAACAATTTATGTCAATTCCAAAAAACAAACTACATTGTTTCACCTTCAAAGTAACACCCCGCGAGTCCAATGCAGATTTCCATCTTTCTCTACCAAGGATCCTTCTTGAATGTTCCTTAGCTCCGTCGTTACGGCCCACATGATTACCCCTACGCCTTTAAAACGAGTCCCCTTCATGATCCCCTTGAGCTTGTGGAAAGAAGTAAGTCACAAAGATCAAGATCAGGTGAATAGGGAGATTATTCCTGTACTGAGATGTTCTTCTTGACCAGGAACCGTGGGATGCACAGAGCGTTACAAGCAGGTACATTGTCGTGGTGTAGGAGCCACGATTTGTCCTGACACAAAAGCATGTGAAAGAAAACATGCAATGGATGAAGAAAATTAAGATTACAGTTATATACTCCCATGTTAACTGTTAACATAAACCGCTTATCCCGCTTTTGTCTATACGCAGTACACCAAGTCATGTTGCATTTTAGTCAGACCGCGTATATATATATATATATATATATATATATATATATATATGTGTGTGTGTGTGTGTTTGTGTGTGTGTGTGTGTGAGTGTGTTTGTGTGTGTGTGTGTGTGTCCGAATGTAATGAAAACGAAAATAATATAAATTCTAACGTTCACAGTATTAATGCAAAGGAGGGCTTAATACCAAGAGTAGAGTAATAATTATTTATTACAATTTTTACATACGGACAAAAACAACTTACTACAAAGATGCATTCTTGTTTCGATGCGGTTGCATCTCAACAGGTGTAAACCAAAAATGTTTATGACAATTATATTTACAAGGAAACATCTTATGGAAAAATATAGGGAGAAACACCTTAAGAGGAAAACGGAGAAGGGTAAAGAAAAGGGAGAAAAGAGAAAGAAAGGAAAGAGGGTGATAGAGTAAAACAAGAGTATTTGTTGATAAACAGTTTGGGCAGTGAAGTAAGACAAGGGACTAACCCTAAAAGTTTAAAACAATGCGTTACAGGTTTTGATACAGTTGAACAGTCAGAAATCTAAGCAAAGTACGGCAATATATGTATATATATATATATATATATATATATATATATATATATATATATATATATAAGACAGGATGTGTGTGTGTGTGTGTGTGTGTGTAACGAATGCACGGCCGAAATTTTCGACAGATTTGCACCAAAATTTACATGCACATGCTACAACTTATTGGTAAGGCCAAGACCGACATTGCATTTCCCAACTCCCATCGATAGTGGAAATAATCGATTTTTTCATGTTTCTACGGCACTTTCCATGTATTTTGCGGCTATTTTCTACTGGCCAGAGTGAGAGCCTATAGCTGGCTGTCACGAATAGGCAGGATGATTCTATTGGCCAGCGTGAGAGCCAACAGCTGACTGACATGAATGTTAACTAGCATTCTCGCATGTAAAAGATTGATAGCTGCATTTGTCACAAGTGGGAAACATTTAAATCTGCATGGCACTTTACTCCAATTGGCTCATTCGCTTGCTTAATCTCAACGTTGATTCTGTTTCCGCAGAACTGGTTTGGGTGTGAAAAAGTATTTCTTGTTAACATTCTTTTTTCATTCGGTTTTTCCAGTTACGAGTCACTTTTTTAAAGCTGATCGTTTTGTGTTCATTTTGTTTAGTTATTTTTTCGTAACAGATTTAATGTTTAGTATAGAGCTTAGAAAAAATTCGCAGTGTGAGATAGGCAAAAAGTAAGGCATGTAGCAACATCAGCACGGCAAAGGGCATTCCTTTTAAGTCTAGTGATAGCGATTGCTGTATGAGTCGTACGAATTTTGAATCAAGCACGGGCAACGCCAGGCCATGCTGCTATATATATATATATATATATATATATATATATATATATATATATATATATATATATTATATATCATTATTATTATTATTATTATTATTATTATTATTATTATTATTACATACGGACAAAAACAACTTACTCACTACAAAGTTGATTCTTGTTTATTTATTTCAATAAGCGGATTGCTTGTAAATAGAATTGTTCATAACCATTTTTGGTTTTCACTAGTCAAGATGCAGCTGCATCGAAACAAGAATGCATCTTTGTAGTGAGCAACGCGATTTTCTCCTTATGGAACAATATAATATAATATATATATATATATATATATATATATATATATATATATATATATATATTGGCTAATTTTTTCTGCTGACTTGAAGTGTAAAAATTATATTGAATCACTTGCTAAGTATGTTGCTTGAAATTCTGGTTCACTGTTTCATACTAGACAATTGTTTCTCGCCAGAATTTATCTTACATATTTATAAGTCTACCATTCATCCTTGCTTTGCATATTGCTGCTACAACTGGTGTGTTTCTTCTGCTATATATTTAGAGATTCTGGATAAAATCCAAAGATGAATCTGTCATCATATTAGTCCTGATTTGGCATTTAAACTTCACTCATTTTGCCACTGTCTTAATTTAGCTTCTCTGTACCTTTTATATAAATACTTTCTTAATAGATGTTGTAATGAACTTTCCGCTATGGTACCGACATTTAATGAATTTAAACGCAGTGCTAGATTGGCGGCGAGGTCTCATTATTTTACATGACATAATGAAGGCAAAAAGGGTAGAAAGAAAATCTTTTGTAAATGGATACCAGAACAGAGAATAGTAGGGATGGTTAAAAATGTAAAATTTACTAAGTACTTCAAAGGATAGGAAGTTGTGGAGAACCATGTTCACACACGTGATGGTTAGAAAGTGTACATAGAAAAAGAATCGAGCCAAACCCTGAATGGTCTCTAATCCGACACTTCGTGTTGTCCAATCTAATATCATCCGCGATGATCGGACAAAGAAAATGCATTAGACGACTGTGAAAAAAAAAAAAAATAAACAAAGGAAAAGATGAAGAAAAAAAGTCACGTGAAGAAAAAAAAAACATATAAAGCAAACATTCAATGTGATAATGGACAGTGATATTACAGTATAAGAGATTTGATCGTTTTCTCTCTCTCTCTCTCTCTCTCTCTCTCTCTCTCTCGATTTCTTCTTTTCGCCGCAGGTACCTTCTTTGGTTTCTGATTGAAATCAGACGAGAACGTTAGAGAGATTTCATGCCAAGTTGTCTGCATCTTTTGCAAGACACACCACTCTTCTTCCACGGGCAATCTTCATTATTATTGCTTCTAATTCTATTTGAGTTGAACCATTTCACTTGCGATCCCCGAAGTGATATAGCTTATATCGTCACCAAACAATCTGCTTGGATGTCCACGGAAATACAGACGAACGCACGTCGAAACGATAGAGACATGTCGATATTTAAATGATGGCAAAAGGCTTGCTGCAGGTGTCATGTGAAAAATTGACGGAAACATTGAGAAGTAAAGGAATAAAGTGTGCAAGTTAAAAAAAAAAAGAAAGAAAGAAACACAAAAGAGAATTAAAATAGAAAGCATTTTTCTTTTTGGTTCAATTGTCAGAGACAAACACCAGAAGGATTTAGGTTTAGAGTTAGAAAGGGAATGACATGAAAACCCTAGAAAGACAGAAAAGCTCCTGGAATAAATTAAATTGGTAATGATAGTGGACATAAGCGCGGAATAGTTTTAGGTAGAATCAACGCTACGAAGATAAAATGATTTATTACAAACGAAAGGTGGTCAGTACGTGTAAAAATAGAAAATAAGTTAAAAGTATATGATAGAATGGGATGATTTTTTTACACTAACGTAATTTTTACAGTAATTTTTGAAAGGATTTTTTTTTATCCAACATTAATTCTTCTATATAATAAATGCGAATATCAGTGTGTCACTATGTCACACTATTTCAATTTACTCCTAGATACCGTAGCACAGTATATGATACCATTTTGGAATCAGGCCGACTCCATGAGCAAATTAAACAAATTCCGGGCCGAATCCGGACCCGCAATCTTGAAATTTTGGATTACCGAATTTTCTTTACTGCAACTGATTTTGGATTTTGCCATCTTGGCTTCTACTGATAAAAACAGTTTAAGGAATACAACTTAGTAACTTCCAATATTTCATGTTCAAATTAAAAAATTACTGTTCTTACATTACAATATTTTAAAATAAATTTTTCGTGGTTTCAGCTTTACTCCTAGATGCCGTAACCAAACATATCACACCATTTTAGAATCAGGCCGACTCCGTGAGCAAATTAAACACATTCCGGGCCGGACAAGGACCCACAATCCTGAAATGTTTGATTGCCAATTTTCTTTAAGCGATTGCTTTCGGGAAGTTTTTTTCCGTGTTTTTTGTAGGATAACAATATTTATGACTTGGAAATACATTTGGAAATAATCGAAATTTATTGCGAAATCTGGCGAAAGTCACCCATGAAATAGAAATAATCGTTTGCAGGGAAAGTAAGGACCTACGTACATCAAATTATCTTTAAATTAAGTGGCGGAAGAATTATTATTGAACTTTTAAAAATTTAAACTTAATATTAATGCAACTGTTAAATGCGGCGATCAATTTTGAGTTCTTCTGTAGTTCATTTTTTTATATTAATATATATTTTTAACCTCGCATAATCTATCAACTCTGAATCGGAGTTCAACGAAAATCGTTCCCAGCGCCTAAAGTTTCTGGGGCTTTTGAAATAGCTATGAATCATTGAAATCAGACCAGTGGGAGCGGAAGAGTTGCTTGGACACACACACACACGTGCAAACACACATACATTGAACTTTCTTTCTCTCTCTCTCTCTCTCTCTCTCTATATATATATATATATATATATATATATATATATATAAGAGAAGAGAAAAACTATTCTTAGTCGACGCGTTTTGTCCACTGTGGACCTTACCAAGGCAAATGTTGGATTTATTTTGTTGTTACTGATTATATACAAAAGCGTCGTATAGGAAGGCAATGAGTAACTACCTTAACCGAAGTTCCAGCGTGACAATCTGGACTTATGAATATATGTTTGTCGCAAGTTGTATAGCGGTGTCAGGCTACTGACTGGAGTGATTATTATATTAACATTCAAGACTTGAGTTATAACTAACCATTAACGCCCACCGTACGTCACAAAAACAGCAAGGGAGTCAATAGTTTTTCAAGGTTTTAAATTTGACAACATTCATGAATATTCATCACCTGATTGAAAGGTCAGTTGAAATATATGAAGGCTATAAAGTGCCATAATTCAAAGTCTGGTACAGCAAAAGTAAGGCAGTAATATTCAATAAGGAGTTGGATTTTCGATAAGCAAAAATAAACTACAGAAGAATTCAAAATTGATCATCTCATTCAAGAGTTGCATTAATATTTAAGTTTACCTTTTAAAAGTTCAATCATAATTCTTCATCCGCCACTTAATTTAAAGATAATTTGATGTACGTAGGTCCTTACTTTCCCTACAAACATTTATTTCTATTTCATGGGTAACTTTCGCCAGATTTCGCAATTAATTTCCCTTATTCTTAAATGATTTCCAAGTCATAAATATTGTTATCTTACAAAAAAAAAAAAAAAAAAAAAATCTCCGAAAGCAATCGTTGTAAAGAAAGATTAAGATAAAATTAATATAGTGAAAATAGAAATCCGAATTATTTATACATTCAACACTTGAAGCGTTAGAGAAACATAATAGCTAATTAAGTAAAACCTATATTATGGAATCTATATAAATAAATGCGAAATTGATGTGCAATTCTCCTACGAATTCTGAGATTAAAGCCCCAGTGCCATTTAATAATCAATTAATAATTGCCCGTGTTTGATTCAAAAATCGTACGACTCATACAGCAATCGCTATCACTTGACATAAAATATTTTTGCCCTTACTTGCCTTTAAAGGAATACCCTTTGCCGTGCTGATGTTGCTACATGCCTTACTTTTTGCCTATCTCACACTGCGAATTTTTTCTAAGCTCTATACTAAACATTAAATCTGTTACGAAAAAAGAACGAAACAAAATGAACACAAAACGATCAGCTTTAAAAAAGGACTCGTAATTGGAAAAACCGAATGAAAAAAAAATTGTTAACAACAAATACTTTTTCGCACCCAACCCAGTTCTGCGGAATCAGAATCAACGTTGAGTTTAAGCAAGCTAATGAACCAATTGGAGTAAAGTGCCATGCAGATTTAATTTTTTCCCACTTGTGACGAATGCAGCTATCGATTTTTTTTTTTGCATGCTAACATGCTAGTTAACATTCGTGTCAGTCAGCTATTGGCTCTCACTCTGGCAATTAGAATCTTCCTGCCTATTCGTGGCAGCCAGCTATAGGCTCTCACTCTGGCCAGTAGAAAATAGCCGCAAACTACATGAAAAGTGCCGTAGAAGCATGAAAAAAATCGATTATTTCCACTATCGATGGGAGTTGAGAAATGCAAAGTCGGCTTGGTTTTCCCGCTAACTTGTAGCATGGGCATGTAAATTCTGGTGCAAATCTGTCGAAGATTGCGACCGTGGATTTCTTACACACACACACACACACACACACACACACACACACACACACACACACACACACACACATCCTGCGTTTTATAGATAGAGATTTACACGAGTGCAAGTGCAATATCTGTAAAATATTGTCTACTTCTAGGCAATATCACTCTTCAGGTTTAACTAATTTGCTTATTGATTTTAGAAAAGTTTATTTTATTAACTGTCCTTCATTACTGTTCTCTTATTCGGGGATTGTTTTGATTTCCATATCAAAAATACTTCTCTTTAGGAATATCGTCTTATATAGTGCAGAAAATTGTTTGAAATTTGCATTTTATTTGACCTTCAACAAGTTGGCATCTATTTGTAAAACTTTCCTTAACTGTAACAAGCCAATTTATGAATGAAATGTTCATTTAAAATTTTTGTTTCAAAGATTTCAAGTAATAAATTACTTTGCGAAGCGATAACGAGCGAGCGAAGCCTACTAGTGTGTATATATATATATATATATATATATATATATATATATATATAGTTCCCCACTTTCTATTGTGACTATTTGACGTACTATACTTTCGGATAAACTGTACTGAGTATATATATATATATATTCTCTTCCGATCTCATATCTACAGTTACTTTTAATTATATCACTGGACATCACTGACTGATAATATTTCTTCAATTTCGTCTTTTTCCTTTTCTTTCCTTTCGTTTTCTCTTCTCCATTTTCTTCTCGTAGACAATCTGCTACGCCAGAGGCCAGCCGGAACTGATCCAAAATATCCTGCTATTTGATATCCGATGTCGGGGCCAATTAAAGTCGGATCCAGAAATAAGACAAGACGGTAAAAATGAAGGAAGCTGTTTGGTCTCTGCGAAATCATAGCTAACACAAATGACGCCATCTTTATACAATTATCTGAGACAAAATATTTTGTCTCCTTCATAATGATAAGCACAGAGAGACAGGAACAAAAGCATATAGACCGAGGTTTATAACCGTATAAACACACACATGTAGATATAGAGGAAGAGTGACACATATGTGCACACACGAAAGAGACCAAAAGCGTCTCCGAGTCCTTTTGTGTCACGAATTATTTTCCCGCCTCAAATCTTCTTCTCACAGGCGGGATGTGGCAAGCCTCTCGCTGTTCTATCGCTACTTTCAAGGAAAGTGCTCAGAAGAACTATATTCCTTGGTTCCACCAGTCGAAACATTCACGGTTAGGGCCCGCCATGCCACTTACATAGTAGTATAGCATTCATGTTCGCACCGTATTCCATCGCATTTTTCGGATTACAACAGTACATATATTTTCGTTGTCCTCTTATTACTGGGAGAAAAAACAAGAACAAAATCTATTCCATACCTGAGGATGTCTGTATGAACAGACGAAAGCTTGTAAAAATAATAAGAGCTCATACAGCAGGAATTTATAAAAACAAGGATCTTTTCATTCATAAACGGATTCGGGGTTTTTGTATATTATTTGAATTGTTTGCGACGATGGATTTCTCGCCAATTAAATCATTAACCTTTGTATTTGTTTTTTGTATGAATAATTCATGAATTTGTAAATTAATTGCACCTTTATTGAAATTAAAATAACTGATCCAAATGCAA